ATTTAGTAGTATTAATCGATTCCGTCCGGAAGAACGGTGCTGCAGTTAGTTTGATTAATAAATAGGTACAAAATGTTACATCACTAGAGAGATGTCTCATGTATAAACACTTCGATGGCTTACTAAGAACTAATGATATTTAATTAAATTATGTTTCGTCATGTCGTCATGTGAATATAATTTTAGGTGTTTTTTGTATTGAATAACGTTGTCGTGCAAGCTTTATATTTGCATATTTTAAATCATATATTCATTAAAAACACCTTCGTGCAAATAAAATTCTAAAAATAGAACAAAATGCATATCATCAAAACAATCAACAAAGCACACATATCTAGGTCACTAAAATCAATACAGAAAATTATAATAGAGACAAGATAATTGGAATGAACAGACTGATCAGTCTACTTGATAGCTTTATCTTGACGATAGTGAATCATTTTTAATGTTATGGACAAGGGCATGTCTCAGCTATCCTCGTGTCTCATAGTTTAGCGATAATATGTACATTAATACTTCCAGGGAGTAAAAACATAATGATTCATTACACTCGGCCTTTTTTCCTTTACTTGTTTTCATACATTGAAGCAAAATATGCATATACCCATCAAAATTGAACCCGCTACCTCAGTACTAAAGGCCAGAGCAGTGCTTTCTGGTCTGCTTTTGTGTAGTATGTATTTTGTAATGTATTTATAGAACTTACCTAACATAGTTTAAATCCAATCGATCAGGTTTAAACGTGTCGATGTAACTAAATATGAGATTAACATTGTAATTGTATTTATTTTTTTTCTATCGTTAAATTGGATTTGAGTGCTCGCATGTTTGAGTATAATTACACGAACGTTTTTCTAAGGAATTTTCTAATTTGAATATTCTCTATACAACATAGTATGGTTTTATGCTAAGGCATAAGGCAATCTATGAGTTGTTTACTAGCGACTCGGCTAGGCGTCGAACCCGAGTGGAGCGCGGGGCTCCGCTCGGTTTCATTCCTAGTTACGTTTTAGCGTTTAGTATAGATTTCTCAGAGATGAGATATTTGCCAGTAGTAAAATGTATCCTATATGTTGACCTGGATAACCAGCTATCATCATACCAAATTTCATTAAAATCTGCCCCAATTGTTTTCTCGTGATGCGGTCACAGACAGACAGACAAAAATTCTAAAAACTTTAGATTCGGCCTCTGTATACTAATGTCTATGTCAATAAGATTTTCCAAAAAATATTTAATGTACAGATTCGGCTTAGTTACAATTTTATTATATGTATAGATAGACGTATAATCATAAATATAGTTACTAGAAAGCAAAACAAACTGTTTTATAACTATATATATATATTTATACATACTTAATCAATCGCCATTTTTCTCGTGTCTAGATATAAATAATAGTTTTTTTCTGATCTTTACATAATATAACCTTATATGCCGGTTAAGGTCACTTACGCTTCCTGACCAACTTATCTCTGTATAATTTATTATTAACTTCTTCTATTTGATCCAGTCAAGTTATAAATAGAAAAGTGCAAGATTTATTTATCAAGATTGGTGATTAAAGGTGTTTAATTTTTTATAATTCGTATCAATACTTAATACCTAAATATTTACAAATAAATATTTGCATCGGATGAAAATCAAACGCATGACTTATCGCATTGGTCATACATTATTTATTAGTATTCTACACAGCATTTTTACATAAAATTGATTTGTAGGTTTGTGTAGTTGATTATTATATATGTTAACATTATTACAGGTGGATCCGTCACTTTGTGCAATAACTTTAAAATCCAGTTAGGTCATTGCTACATGCTTATTACTACAAACAATTGTTGAACTTAAATGTACATACTATATATGCAATTATAATAATGACTCTTAGAACATAATGGTTTTTCTTTGAAAAATATATTTGCTTCTACTCTTATTAAAATATGTTACCATAAAAACAGTTTTATTACAATATTTGTAAAAGTAAAATATTGTGTTGAAATTAGTTATTACGAAAGTGATTTTTTAAAGAAGACAACTCACCTTGGAAGTTGTTTTAACCTCCAGGTTGCTTCAATGTCAAATATAATGATTAAAATTAATATTTTTATACTTATAATAAGAAAAATTTAATAACTCCATTTTGTTTTTAATCTCAGTAAAACTTGAAATACTAAATCTTGAAAAGTGCAACTGGTGAATTTTATGCTTCAACAATTTTTCAAGTCAAGGCTTCAAAGATAATAATGTTTAGTGGTGTTATTTTATGTAGGTGATATTAAACCAATCGTGATGAAATTACATTTTTTAAATAATAAAAATATTTATTAGCACTTATTATGAGTACAAAAGTCATGTATGTATCTATATATCATTAATTATACGTTAAGTGAAATAACATAACCACCTCAAATAATTTCCCTGCATAAAACAATAGATCAGAATTCCATACTAATATCACAGTGTACTAATTCATACAGTCGTCTAACGAAGGCATACTAGACATGGCTGAGGTGCTTCCTATTGTCATAATATATATTTTGATATGACACTCGGGAAACGGTGTTAGGGTCACAGACACTTATGAATTTTACAGTTTAAATTTAAATTAAATGTGTAGTCAGTCCGTGAGGAATCTTACACCGGCTCGGAAGGCAGTTCTGCTGAGAAGAGCCGGTAAGAACTCAACAGTTGCTGTTTTAAAATAATAATTGTTTACCATATTGTAATACAATAATTATCTACTTATCCTACGTACATACGAAATGATTAATACTTTTGACAACCCTTGCATTTGACAGCACTTGCGTTAAAATCAACGGCGATCGTCTACCAAAATCTTAAGCAAGCTATATATATTTTAATACTGTTCTAAGATAAATATTGACTAAATGTGTATGTGAATTGTTCAGAGGCGGATGGGGTATATCGCCCCGAGGCGCCGGCTACACCTTCGGCCAGGACATCTCGGAGACGTTCAACCACAGCAACGGGCTGACGCTCGTGTCGCGCGCCCACCAGCTCGTCATGGAGGGCTACAACTGGTGTCACGACCGCAACGTCGTCACTATATTCTCCGCGCCCAATTATTGCTATAGGTAACTTCTGCTTTTAATTATCCACGTTTAATTCTCCTTTTTATGATTATTTCAGTTTTGTATTGGTGACAAGTGTCGTTCGATAAAGGGCATGACCTTTTTGTTTGTTTTTTTTTATTATAGGTTAACTTTGAAAGTATGTATTTACTTCATATGAATTTCAAGACAAAATCTTCTTCTTCTTCTCCTTGCCCATTTCCCAATCACTTGGGGTCGGTGCAGTACATCTTCTGTACTGCTGATAGGATTTGGCAAAAGTTTTATGACCGGCCGCCTGCCTGACGTCAACCCTCCTTGGGAAAATTTCAAGAAAAAATCCATTCTTAAATTTAGTTATTATATTTAAAATAATAGAAAATACCTTTTAATGTAATAAATACCTTATTTCCATTGGTTTATTTAACAAATTAAGAAGAAAATTTAAAATGACAAAGATAAATGTATGATAACGCTACGCCCCATGTCGTTTTATCCTACAGTACTGAACATCCATCTTTTTTTTGTATTTAATAAATAAAAAAAAATAAAAAAATAAATACTGTGTATCTTTCATGCAAAAGAAGTTTTAAACGGGAATTATAGCAACATAATAATCGTATAGGTTAAAATCCAAATAAAGATATTGCTTGTTTTCATAAAACTTCATGTAGTAGGTTACGAATGGTGTAATAAATAAACATTTATTACGTTAATTATTTGAATTTCCTTTTTATGTATATTTATTTTTATATCATTTAATTGCTTTGCAAATAAGAGATTTGTTTTTTATTTTGTTGTTAAAGGATTTATATAATGTTTCTTTTTATCGCAGGTGTGGAAATCAAGCCGCCATAATGGAATTGGATGATGCGCTCAAGTATTCATTGTAAGTTTACTTCATTATATTATTATAATTAATGGGCATGACGCTATTATGTGATTATACGGATAATTATTTACTTTTTACTCTCTGAAGTAAAAAGGATTTTTTTCTACTGTATTGGTTATATAATAAATATTGCATTGTGTTTATAACGCATATTGTGAAAACCAGTTTATAGCTTGACAGATTTGAATGAAATTTGCTATTAAAATAGCTTATATCTCGCATATAAACATAGATACATTTTATCGTCCTGAAAAATTATACAATACTAGCAACTCACCCTTTTCGCTCGGATTTGTTTCTAGTAAAAAACCAAAACAAATCTATCCCACGGGAACCGTACATTTTCCCGGGATTAAAAGTAAAAAGGCTATAAAATAAAAATGTATGTGCTATTCCAGACTATAATATGTCTCTGTGCCAAATTTTATCCAGATTCGTTCAGCCGTTCTGGCGTGAAAGAGTAAATAACATTGATCCATCCAAACTTTCGCATTTATTTTTAATTATTAAGGATTATGGGATAATGGGATGTACACGAAAAATAGATAGTTAAGTTATGGAATGATTATCAGCGCAAAGTGATGACAATTTGTATTTGTTCAAACAAATCAAATTTTACGGACTTGTGTCCTAATACTGTGGATATTTAAGTTTATGACCTTTTATTCAATATTGGATTATATTACAATGATAATTGTACATTATTTATATATAACAATGTCTGTTTGTGCAGCCTTCAGTTCGACCCGGCCCCGCGGCGCGGCGAGCCGCACGTGACGCGGCGGACGCCGGATTACTTCATGTAGGCTGCACGTAAGTATCTTATCTACATTGGTATCTTTTTAATTTATTGTTTTGTTAGGGTTTAGAGAAGTCTGTTTGTTTACAAAAAAATAATGTGAATTTCTTTTTTATATATCTATGGTTTTTTTGTGAAAATAATGTTTGATTCTTATTGATCGTATAGCTTCCTATTAAAACAATTTGGACATCACTTGTCTAATTTCAAAATGTAATTTTTATTATAGTATTTAATTAAAACAGTCGCGCTGTTCACAGCGAAGGCGCAACTGGAGCAGGAGCGGCGGGCGCTGCGCCGCCGCCCCGCGCGCCGCCCGCCCGCGTCCCGCGCGACCTCCCGCCCCGCCCGCGCCCGCTCCGCCCGCCCCCGCCTCGACCGCCACAGCCTGCTGCGCATGGCGCACTGGCTCGCCGCCATATGACCGCACCTATTTATACCCAACCTCTATCACACCGACACCGACACACCCAACTAAGCATAAACATTTCCTCGATCACACCGTCGGTGTATTATAATTTAGTATAAACTTAACCCTTTGTCACACTGAGGCTGTGATAGAGGATGGGTATAAAGCATCCCTCACGCGACTACCGGCCCCCCGTCACACCGACCTACCAAACTTCCGGTTTAATACTCATTCTTTGCCACTAACGGCAAATTCCAATAACCTATCTATCTGTGATATTGCTTACTAGCAATAAGAATTTGACATCATTTGTATGAAGCTTAAGTCAAATTTCTATCTCTAATAAGAAATACTTTAGATATATAGGTTATTGAAAACCGCCGTTAAACTGTTAAAGTGAACGTTAAAGCAATAAAGAAATGATAAATCGGGTAATCTATGTTATAATTTGTATGCTCCTGTGTATGTGTGTGCGTTTAGACGTGATTTATTTTCATATTATGTAAATTAAAAAGAAAATAAGGGAATAGTATTGTCAATATATGAGTATGGTTGTGTGCTTCGTGATGCGTATTTATTATATTTTAGAGCATGTAAAGAGCTGTTTTAATAAAATGCAAAAATACGATGTCTACAGCATATTATTTTAAGTCTTTCGCACATGCATACTATTGCACGCATCTTATTTTGGGTCGATCTCGCTGTGGTTTCATGGATAAAATGATTATTAAAAAAATATCATTTAGAAGATTAAGTCAGTTGATCATATAATGAAGATCTACAGCGTGAACGACTCATTATTTGGAAGCGCTATATATTTACTAAAATTCGATATTTTTAACAAATTATAATTATTTCAATATACTGCTTGTGTCAAAAAGTTTTGGAATTCGACTTTTACGGTTAGGTTGGATTATTGTGTATCTCACACAAGTGTTTTATATGATAGGTTTTCAGTATCTCGCTTCTGTCTAAAGTGAAGTCTTTATTGTTATGTAAAATATGATTAGACGTAAGTGTATGTCAATACCGAAAACTTTTTGACAATGCCAGTATCACATTGAAGCGAAATACGCACGCAATTTTATAAATATAAAATATATTGTGAACAGATGTCCTTGCATATATACTTTATTCGATTGTCGGTGTGTGTATAAATAAAGATGTAGCGTTACTGCGCATAGTACATTGATGTATAGACTAGTGATTACATAGATTGAGAGCGGGCAAGGGGGAGATGGGGAGAGGCTGTGGCGGTGTATGTGTAAAATTTAAACGTTAGGTGATTTGTTTGCATAACGTCCAGGGCTGCCAGTAGAGACAATTGCTGCCAGTAGAGCTATCTTATTTTATACCGCTGGGTCACTCAAATTATACCAAATCAAATAAATGATGAATAAAAAAAAATCACTAAACATATGTAATATCTTAAAATGAAATATACATAAAATAACCATATTTTACAATTTTCGTAACCAATTATACGATCTGGCAGCCCTGATAACGTTCTCGGTCGAAGTCACTGCAGTTTTAGGTTCTTGCCTCGCCTTGGACGAACTGCCCCGCGCCGGCTCTGCCTTGGTAACTATAATATGAACACATGAATACATTTTGTAACACCAATTCGTTTCCAATTCAAGGTCAACGGCAGTATCAGATAGTCTAAGAGTCGGCGGGCAGTTCGCTCGCGCTACTTATGCTGGTATGTTCATTGCGTGGCGACGGCGCGACGGTTCACTTTTATATGTAACTTACGATGTATCAAAGACACTTAGACCTCATTAAACAGCGTACATTTGCTATTCGGTAGTTTTATTTCATTACTTACTCGCCTCGAGGCCTCCGACGATCGTCGGGAATGGACATACCATCGTATCGCTTCCCGGTGACTCACGAGCACAAGTTGCGGTTTGTCACAGCAACGCATATTGCAGTTCACTCGATACTAAATATTATGGAGCCTCGTTTTTATACTTTTAAAACTTAGCTTTTAAATTTATATATATATACATTTTTTTTTTGTTTTCCGATTTTACGTACTTGGACGCGCTCACGAGCGACGCACAACTGAGCGCACTCGTCATGTTTCTCGCGTAGAACAATAGCAAGCATTTAATTTTATGACAGAATGGTGGAATTTACATAATTCAATAATATATTATCGTCCGACAGAGTTGAATTGTATTAGAGTATGCGTCTAGAATGCTCGTTCCATTCTGCCATAAAATGTTGAGACGTGCATTTTTAGGTTGATTTGTCCATATTCTCCTATTTTAGTGCCACGGTACCTGTTTTAACAGAATAAAGTGTTTCACGAGCGTGGAGCTGCAACCTTTTTACTTTCTTCATTTTAGACGATCTTGTAAATATATAAGATCAAGGCATTACGTAGATTGTTATGGTTTAACGTAAGCGCATGCATATTTCCGAGATGATGGTAGATAACAAAATATACAATTTTTTATGAGTATATATATGAGAAGATATACATTGGAATTTCAATTTTTAGCAGATGGACGATGGTGAATGACTCGACAAAGACTTTCTAATGAGATATTTCAAAAGGGATTTAAATAATGATTGAATACTTATTAAAAACCAACGGCGGCTACCATCTAAATTTGTCTAAATTATAAATTTAAATTATTTCATTAACGTCATTTGTAATCGTCCATCTTAATTTAAAATATTCTAATTATATATTGTGGCGATTGAACACGTGAGTTGTTTTTTTTTTATTATTTAACAATTCATTTTTTGTCGCATTTTTCAATATGAAAAATAGATACAGTAATTTCCATGTAATTATAATTTAGAATTCGCTTACGAAGCATAATTACATTTCCAAATCTGCACTTCGATTTTATTGAGCGCGTGTGTACTCGATACAAAGACTTACCCACCAATGACATCGGAAGCCACACGTTTTGTTAAGTATTAAATAAGTAAGTTAGGTAAACGAATAAAACCTTAAAAACTAAAAAAAATGTATGATAACGAGCTTCCTTTGTATGGAATAGAGTAAAAATAACGTATTATATAATATTGATTTCATTGCGTTCGTAGAAATATTTCACACGATCGAAGCTCGCGTCTATAATTAAGGCTTTCCTGGCAATCCGCATAGGCGTGCAACATGTGTGTGTTGTATGAGAGACGACTGCAAATATTAGCATTGCGTCGTTGTTATATACACATTATATTATATGGTTAAATCAAAAATTGAAATCGATAAATGCAATAAAAGTGGAAACGGTTTATTCTTTCAACTCTGTACTATGCCCGTTGATAGGAATTAGATAATAAATAAAATTAATTATATAAAAATGTTTTATTACGTCGCTGATCTCCTCTTTTTGACTTGGAAGTAGCTAGATTTCTACGTTATAATAAAAATTCTTTAATGGAATTGTGCGAATGAAAATTATCAATAATAAATGAAAATATTAATATGAATAGAGACTTTCTATATAGGTACACAATTCGTCCATGTAGGTACATATAATAAAATCCTAGCCGAGTTGAATCTGTACATTAAATATTTTTTATTGAAAATCTAATTGAAATAGTCATTATTATGAATTAGATACAGTGGCCGAATCTATAGTTTATAAGTTTTTGTCCGTCTGTCTGGGAACGCATCACGATAAGCCACTGGACAGATTTTGATGAAGTTTGGTATGATGATAGCTGGTTACTTATCCGGGTCAACTTATACGACACTTTTTACTGCGGGAAGATATATCATCTCTGAGAAATATATACTAATCGTTAAAACGTGTCACAGATCATATAATACTCATATAATACTATACTAGTAACGTATCTAGGGACGAACCCGAGTGGAGCGAGTGTGAGTCGCTACTTTACTATAGCTACATGTGTGTTCATAAATTAAAAACCAGATTTATGGAAATAAATTTATTTCATAAAATAAATATTGCATAATAATAAATAATGTTTAATCTTTACAAGACATTGTGCTTTTCACTTGGTACAATTAGCTTCTATTTGTGATCAATACTGATATAGTCAAATTGTAAATTTATCCTTTATTGAAAAGATGTTAGATGTTTCCTGCTTATACTATAATTAAAATGTCAAAATATAATTTCAAATAAATTATCGACAGACAATACTTAGTTCGGATGTACATATACATGCATTCACTTTACATCAGGTGGCGAAAATCTCTGTACATAACAGCATAATAGTACAGTGTTATTGAAACAAAATTTTCATACAAAACGATTTAGATATAAAACCAATTTATTTTTCAACATTTGTAAGCTCATAGAATATACAAATTATAATATGAATTCTTGAGAGAGCAACATCTTCATCACTGAATACGAACTATAACAACTTTCGAAAAAATCAATTTAAATAATTATTAAATTTTACACGTAGTAGGTTACGTCTGAATATGATTTATAATAGAATAGCAAGCGGCATTATGTTGAGAAATTTAAAAATTTTAACTCTTTATAGGTATTCTTGAAGAGATTTTATATTAGTTAAAAAAATTACTTTCATTTTTCGTTCGAAACAAAAAAAATGCGAAAGCAACTTTAGTTATTAAAACAAAATATATATCCTTATTATAGAAAGTCGTATATCATTTTATAATATTTGTACCCCAAACCGCATATAAAAAAGTATTCTAATCTTTCTTATTTTTCAATTAACAATGTTTATTATACACAAGTAAACATTATTGTCAAATTATTTTTCAAAACCTAAAAATAAAAGTAGCCATTTACTTTTACCCTTGATGCTATAAAAATAAACAACTATATTTTGAAAAACAAAAAAATACACAAGAAAACGTGTGTGTGTACTTATGTATGTACGCACATAAGAAGTTATACTTCTTTGGCGTAACAGAACAAAAAATAGGTAGATTTCAATTTTCATCCCGTAAAAGGAATGCAGCTAACTTCATCATGTCGCTTTTTGGCTGTCGGTGTGCGCGCGCGCATCGTAAAATTTTACTTTCATAATTTTTTCCAAACGTGCCAAAAAAGTATAACTTCAAAAATATATTAAGTATAATAATGATTTCATCATTCAAGGTTTGAATACATTTAAAATTTACCTCATTATATAATTTTTCCTTTAAATTTACAAAATATACAAAACATTTTTTATACATTAAACAATCTCGATTGCCGTTAATATTTAAAAAAAAGGGATACGTTCGGACTTTACTTAATATTATTATTATTGTCGGACGAAGCCAAGTGGTAAAGTGCTCTTAAAAAAACTAAATGAACGAAGCTGGTTCAAGCCCCGGGTCTCACACTTTAACGTATTCACTTGCGAATCATTTTCAACGTGATGACCACTTGTCTTACGGCGAAAAGAACTTCTGAGAGAACCTAGCAAGTTTTGAATGCATGCTCAGTCCAACCGCACTTGGCCAGCGTGGTGGTCCCTCCTATTGAAGGGAGGCCCGTGCCCAGCAATGGGACTTTGAAAAGCTTTGAATACATTTTTTATACTGAACAAATACTGTAACACCGAGAAGGCTAAAATCTCACTTTTCCTATTGGTTAATTAAAATAATCAAATATCTAGGACATTTAGTTTTTAGAGCTTAAAGCTTACGAAATAAGAAAATACTGATTGTTGATAAACAAAAAAAAATCAAATAATAATCACCTTGATATCGAAACAAAGTTTTACAACATTTTTTATTTTATAATATAAGTAGCCTAATTAATACCTACAACCTGTACGATGCTTCACTAATTCTAGTACAAAAAAAATATCTTTGTGTTTCTCCCGACAGATATGGAACTTGGCAGTGTTTACACATTCAAACCAAAAAAAATCTATTACAGTAGACAAGAGCACTTTTACTTAAAAAAGTAAATGTATTAGAATTTAGTTAATCTTAGTTAAAAGGACAATACTCTTGCGTAGCTGCTTAAAAATTCAATTATTTTAACTTGAATTTAAATATTAACAAATATTAAAATATAAACAGTGTACCCAAATTAAGAATTTGTTGAGATATCTTTATTTAAATATATAATTGCAACACTGACAATGCTACGTATCCGTCAAAAATTTATTGTCCTAACTAAAATTATTTATTTCGTGTTCTACGATATTTTCATTCCGGTGTCGAGTTGTAGAAGTTGTTTCATCAGTTCGTATGTAGAGAAGGAAGTGGCCACCATTGGTATGGCTCGTAAGTAGTTGATGGTCATACCGCGATACAACCCTTTGACTATTCCATTTTCGCGGTATATGAGTGTTAATGTTTTAACCATGCCCGTTCTAAAAAAATCATTAATAAATTTGAATTCGACAATGAATTTAAATTTATTTTCTACACAATACACATATAAACAAATAAATCATTAAATATGTAATCATATAAGATATTATTAAATTGATAGCAGTCGCCATTCATAATATTAAATGACTATTAAATATCAGATTCATTAGTGTTTAAAAAAATTAAAACAAAGAGATAACAAAAAAATAATAATTGATAATTAATATCATTAAATAAAAATAAAAAAAAATACATATATACCAACCTTCTGTTAGTGTTGCCAACACCAGTGCAAGAAATATGTAATAAAAATTATATAATATTTAATTATTATTATATAACATAGCAAGTAAATATATAATTGAAGGCTATATTAAAAATAACTATTTATAAGAATAGAGAAGAAGGAATAGGTATAATTGTTACACAACATGTTAGTGTCTGTATTTTTTGCTGTATATAATTAAATTACAATAGCTAAATACTAAATAATAATATTATAATGCATTATCTGATTTAATTTTAATATTTTATAGACTTTGTCAACAACGTTAAGGATAATTCAAAACTGCACAAAATAGAAATTATTAACCTGGCACTTGGTGCAAATGTATAATGCATACATAACATAATATAAGAATATTCTACTAGATGTGCACGTTAGTAAAGAAATACTTCTTAGGTATTGTATTAAAGTGAAAATATATAATGTGATTTTTATGTTAGAGAATAAGTTAAAAGAGTGGTGACATTTAAATAAGCACCAAAGATCTTTCAATAAAATTTTTAAAATAAATAAATTACTAAATAAATAAATAAAAAAAAAAACAAAGAAAAACTTAGAAAAACGTAATCTAATTTAGTCACACCGATTATTATTTACAAGCAGTAAAGTGTGCAGATTCACTTAAAACTACAACCACATGAGTAAGTATCCCTACAGAGACAAAGCTTCATATTTAGCGGAACGATAGCTACGTGTCGGGGCGGAGCGGCGTGCGTGTGATAGGTCACCGACAAGTTCATGTATATGCTACCCGTTGACAAAACCGATTTTATCCGGCTCGAACTGTTGACAATTAGGCCGCACGCGTTATGATTGAAAGAAAACGCACACGCCGCATTATGTAACGAAGTCCTCATGGCCAATCACGGCCATAGCAGCCAATCTCACTAAAGACTACGTCGGAACCAGGAGATAGAGAAGCGCATTCATCTATTCATTCTCTATTCCTGTCACTCATACTCCGGTACCACGAAAATCCGACACAACAAAAAGTAGTCATGTGTGAGCTTGAGTCTCTGTAAGAACATTAACTCCTACAACCACGAAACCTAACCTACCATACACACAAACAAACAAACCCGACTCACCCAAACTTGGCCGTCTCGGGCGTCATGCAGGCGAGCTGCATGCGCCGGCGCGTCACGTCCAGCGGGTAGGACACGGACTGCGCCACCGCGCCCGCCAGGCCCCCGCACACCAACTTACCTGGCACCGTCAGCACTAGACCCCCTGGTTATATAATTATTATGTGTCAAAGTTACCATACAACAAATGATTAAGTTAATTTATATTCAATTCTGAACGTAAAGTAAGTTACTAACTAAACGTGAGCTGCCTAACGGTAACCCATTTTTTTATGTTGGGAAATGCATTTACGCATAACACCTATAGACATACAGGTGGTTATGTGGGACTCACCGGCAAGAAAAGCTAGTACTACCCACTAAAACCTTCCTCCGTCTTAATGGGGCGTCGCAGGATCGCTTACGCATACAACTACGACGCCCCGACGGCAGGTCTGCCGAAGCAGACCACAACAACCACGGGGTTGCTCCACAGTCCACTCTGCTATCAGAGAAGTATCAGTAGCAACCCGCATGGCACACCGCCCACCGAAGTGGACGCTAATGAGCCCCCCCACCACGACAAGGCGAACGCACGTAGGTCAAAGGTATAATTTAATCGATAATGTGAATAACACAAATAGGTAGTGAAATTTAACCTACAAACTATATTTACTTACCAGTATTTCTTTCACATTTGCGACAAAGTGTGCTCGGAAGATATTTCATACATAAGAACTTAAGGGATTCGAAGCAGTAGAAACTGAAGCCGGCGTACGGAACCATTCCCACCATCGTCGGCACAAAGCCGCGGTATAACGCGCGTATACCGCCCTCCTAAAAATACATAAATACGATTGAATACACTCTCAACGTAGTTTTGAATCAATTTTATATTATATTTTTTTCTAATATCATATATTTTGGTTTTATTTTCCGAAAAAATATTTAATGTACAGATTCGGCTTAGTTACAATTTTATTATATGTATAGATAAAGTTCAGATGCATCCTAAAGGACTTTGTCAGTATTTCCGAATAAGGAATCATGAATTAGTCAATTTATTAATTTTACAATTTAAGTAAAAATAATTTATTAGTAACTAGTTTTAGGTTTTGAATAGTAATATCTGCGTAATACTACAGATCACATATATTATACTAGCACAGATTAATATGCCTTTTTGGGATCTACTTTTTTATCTTTTGTTAATACAACTTTAATATCAAATCGATGAATGTGACGTCATCTATTGACATTTGTTTGAACTAATTTTTCTTTGTTCGTGGTAAGACCCCATGGTAATATTAATATTTTCGTCTCAATCAGACTGAAATACGTAGGTATAAGACATACGAAAATGGCCTCGCGCCATGAAGATTGAATTAATATTATATTATGTACATATCACCATCGTAGGTAGAGTAAAAAAAATGATGAATTAGGAGCCTTTTAAGTATTAGGTAAGCTTTCAATAGAGTTTTCAGTATTACAATTAAATACTTAAACTTAAATTATTTCGTAAATAAGGGAGTAATTATCATTTTTACAAATGTATCAATTCAATAAAAATTAAAGAAAAAAAAATCAGCCAGGGTGATATAGTTAAACTTTAAATAAATATACAAAACCGTACATGGTATCTTATTACTCACAGTCTTAAATATGGTAGTAGCAGCATGAGCAATGCCCGTGTACCGGTGTTCCCCGGTCACTTGGAAGGCGAGTCTCGCTCTAATGGTGTCGAGGGGATACGTGAGGGTCACCGCAGTCAACCCCGCCGCCGCGCCCGCTACGAACTTGTCGCCGTGTTGCACTATTGGTATGCTTAGTCCGCTTAGGTACTATAACAATAGTATAGAGAGAATTAGTTACTTATAGTAAATTCAAAATATACCTTTAAAGTTTAAATTACAAAGGCATTTATAGGATTTTATAGGCAAAGCAAAAGCTACAGGTGAATATTTTATTTTACATTTTACGTAAAAAATATATATTAAGTAAACTTGCAACAAATATTCGGCTATTATTTGGTATTCGGTCTATTCGGCTACTTTTTTCCTATACGGCCGAATATCGAATATCTAGATACTACTCAGCCAAATACTGAATACTTAATATTCCTTTTGCATTAGATAGCCCTTTTATTGAAGAAGGCTAGAGGCTATATTAGTAGGTATATATCATCACGCTACTACACAAGAGAGCGGAACAATAATCATAAATGTCAACAAATCGGGCAGACTTATTGACATATAGACATTAACATTATTGTAAAGCCAGTCTTTTTTTAGATTGAACGCGAGCGAAACCGCGGGTTCTGCTAGTTTATAATATATGTACTAATAAAAAATATTGACACTACATTTTCATGGAATATTTTTAAGATATTTATACTACTTCAAAACAGAAATGTTCTTATCTTATGTTAGCGTAATTTTTTAGATGTTTTTGAAGAGCACGTCTAATACCGCTTTAAATTAAATATTGAATAAGTAAACACTCTTAACACAGTAAAAGCGATTTAGCTTATCTTCCCCAACATTTGCTTCTCTACTTACTATTGATATGTAAATATTTAAAGTTTATAATTTATAGAAATACCATATTTTGCCTTGGAGACTTTACATTTATACATATAATATACGTTATTCCCTTCTGTTCAGCCTTTATTTACAACTAGCATTGCCCGCGGCTCCGCCCGCGTTTATATGACCAAAAAGCAAATTCTTAGGTTTTACATATAAGTTTACTCTTACTATGCAGTTTTTGTATTTTTTCTCAGAAATGAGATATTTTCCCGCCTTAAAAAGTACCCTATATGTTGACTTAGATAACCAGCTACCACCATCTCAAATTTCATCAAAATCGCCCCAGTAGTTTTTGTGTGATGCGGGAACAGACAGACAGACAAAAATTCTAAAAACTATAGATTCGGCCTCTGTATCGATAATAATGTCTATTTCAATAAGATTTTCCAAAAAATATTTAATGTACAGATTCGGTTCAGTTAGAATTTTATTATACATGTACAGATAACGATTGGATCTCTTCCAAATTAGCAGTATAAAGTCCATCGTTTAATTTTAATATAGATATCATCTTTCAAACGTTCAGAAAACTTTTGTGAAATACAACAAGGTTCTGTGTAACTAACCACACTGTTTACTTATAATAGGAAATAATTATGTCAATACAACAATAATACTTGATTATAAATAGAACTTGACAAAGCTAATAGTTAAAAAGTGGGTTATGGTTCAGTACTGATTTTAAAAATTGACTAAATTATTCTTCGCTGTTACAAAATGACGTTTTGTGCTCTATATCAGTTAACCGACTTGAAAATAGAGTATTTTTTGTGTAAAATCACCTTACAACTCGATTATATATTTGTCTATTGTTGTACCTATCTACATTATATTTACTGGGTATATTTTTACTTACGCAGATACTTTTGGTCTAATTTAAAACTAGCAACTTACTTTCGCTTCTCTCGCGTGCGTCCCTAGATACGTTTTTTTTCAGCAGAAACCCTAATTATTTTTCTAAAATAAAATTAGCATAAGTTACATCTTATAACAGCATATCCATCTTGGCAGATAAAGTAAAAAGTAAAAGTCCCGTCAAAATAAGTCCAGCCGTTTCGGAGATTAGTCGAAACAAACAGACAGACAAAATTTTTAATCATTGTGTTTTTCTTATAAGTACCGTATATAATTTCATATGCATTTAGTTACCTGTTATTTTGACATTACAAACAGACACTTCAATTTTATTTATCTATAGATATAGATTATTCAAATTATGTAAAAAATATTAATGTTATTCATTTATATTCTACACAATCTCTACGAGACATAAAGAATCTTCTTTTAAAATTATAATAGATTTTTTGAAGTGACGTTAGGAATATAAAGCAGTATTCAGTTTACAATGTTGCACTGAACTTTAACCTTTGTGTGGATAAATTATGGCATACATTTGTGTCTACTGTTCGAGTTATACATCTAAACTGTAGTACTTAAAAAATTATAATGATGAACGGAATCTAATGACATTTAAATGCGTATACGCATATATAAATAACGATCCATACTGTGACAGTGTGTGGATATGACGGTATATAACTTAGAAATTTTTGCCTCAGTTATGCCTTAATAATATCCTAGAATTGACTTAATCGCTTTAGATAAAGTTTTCATTTTTAAAAGTAAAATATATTTTATTATAATAAAGAAACATACTGATTATTAAAAGATTATCGACAAATTATTATAATTACCTAAATTATATATTACCTTAAAGAGCATTTGACAAAATGATAACCTATGGGAATAACTTTAATTCAGATATTCTAATTCAATGCGAGAGGATCGGATGATCAAGCTACACTCCACAAAGCTGGCCAAGTGCGAGTCGGCGAATAAATGTTTTTCGAATACTAATTAGTTTTTTAGACGTATAATATACACAATACATACTACATAAGCCGCGCACTGAACTGAAACCCCGCCAGCTTTGAACCCGCTTCACTAGATTTTGAAGCGTTACCACTGATGAAACTATTTTGTATTCAAGTCTCGTGAAGATGTCATAGACTCAATACACGAGTCAATGGCGGGACAATTGTAATAAATAAATGGAAAGCTTGACCCGCGTATGACCCTCGCTTAATATAGAAGATATCATGTTCTTCTAAAGAAGGGGAGCTCAAACAATCCTGCATTTACTTGACCAATTGAATTTAACTGCTATATTTTAAATCCTTTCACATCGGTTTCACTTTTAAGTCGTTTTCGAGTAATACACGGCCAAACAAACACACATAATGACGTAGAGTTGGGCATTCCTTGTGGGCTGGAAACAACTAACGACATAATATTATTTCTTGTTGAGATAAAGAGATCGTATGCGTAATTGTAATAAGTAACAGGAAAACTTGGAAGTAACGTTTGAGTTACGAAGAATATTCAGTTCGGAGAATTAATTGTTGGATGATTTTAAAATTTAAGTCACGCCTTGTTTTATGGATAGTTTACACAAAAGTTGAATACATAAAGTTTAAAATTATATGTCAACAATAACAATTAACAGTAATTTTAAAGGAAAATATTTGAAGCAAGACAAACAATAAAAGTAGAAAAAATGTCCCAAGCTCTACTTAAAAGTTGCATTTTCATTCGATACAAGTTATTCTGTTAGATTGATACGTTTGAAGCCAAATTTACGGTTCTATCAGATACACACGCTAATTTTTACTTTTCGTGACTCTACCTTTCTATTATTATCAGAGTCAGACTCACGTGTGTATTGATTGTTATTTTAGAGTCAACTTTTAAACCTTATATACGCGCACATCACTAAATTAGTGCTGTTTAGCATCTTCATTTTAAAAAATCAACAATAGAAGGATTTACACGATTATTAAAATTTAATTCTGCCTACTGTTTATGTAGCTTTATGTTCACGTTAAACTAGTTCAAAACACTAGGGGTTCCAATAATTTATTTTATGGTACCATCATATGGTACCATATAGTAAGTACCTATTAATATTTTTTGTATAAGAATCAATACGTAATAATTGCTAATTGTAATAAGGTTTACTTGCTAGAAGCCTACATAATGTGCAGAAGACAAGTGGTTATGGACTCATCATTCTATGGAACAGGCATGGGAAACACACAGCTGTTCAAAACATATCTGTCGGACTCGGGACTCGTGACGCAACATTTAAATATAAATTGCACGTTCATTTGACATGTGCTGCATAATTGCACGTGCAAATAGTAAAATTTTAGTAATAAATTTGAATTTGTAATATATATTTTATGCACACACGAAGTAATTTTTCAATTAAATACTAGTAATATATTAAAAATATGTAGATATTTGCTAAGAAATACGTTAAAAAAATATTAATATGTTAAAAACTTATAAAGACTTTTTTAAGGTAATTATCCTACAATAACTGTCAAAGTAATATATTTATTTATTTTATTTATGTACAAAAAAAAATACATATAAAATAGAAAACAGATACCATGTGTACAAAGGATTATTTATTTTAGAGATCTCTATCAGAAACCCTAGAGCGTGAGAAAAACAAATAAAAATGAGGTGCACACTACAGGTACAAACTACAAACATCAATTATTATATAAATATACACATGTACAAACATACAAACTTACATAGATAGATATATATACATATATACTCAATTACATAGATACATATATACATATATGTACATATGTATTTTAAAGAAAGCTTCAATGACGTGTTTTATGGAAACGAATACGATCCGGATTTAAACGGCACACGATCACAGCGGTCTTTACACCATCGACCGCACCTCTAAAAACGGTGTTAGTATGCCACTCGATAAATTTTGTCCATATACATACATAGAATTCCACTGCTTCAAGATTTTCGACATAATGTAATAAATTTTAAATTTTCCTATTTTCATTCGTCTTATTCGTCGAAGATTTATTTATTTACCTTTTTTATTTTTAGTTGGGGCATTAACACATCACCATCTAGTTCCATGGTAAGCTACGAGGCTTATCTTATTGATACCAGATAGTTGATACACTACACATATATAAATTTAAATACATACATATTATAAATATAAACACCCATGATTGGAGTACAAACATTCGTGCTAATCACACAAACGAATGCCCTCAGCGGGACTCGAACACGCGACCGCTGGCACAGCAAGTAGGGTATATAACAAACTGAGCCAAACGTGTCGTCCTGGTATGTGGTTTATTTACTTGGTTATTCACCAGTGATAATTGCAATTATGTCTTTATAGATTTTATGCTGAATACCATACGCAATATGGACATTATTCATTTTATATATCATCATATTGTTTAAAATATTTTATACTTTATATTATGTATTAATATATAAATCAAAGCGGAATCTGCTAAAACAACAGTGTTCATTTTACACACAGTTTTGTCGTAACAATAACTACGATTTCTGTTGAACCGAGGTATTTAATGATTGATTTCGATAAATCCACCTAAAATAAGATGAAAATGAAGAATTAAAATTTTTGACATCTCTTGAAGTTTTGAACGTCACTTGAGGTTTTACATCAATTGATAATAATAATTAATTTTATTTCTATCAAAAAATAGTGATTAAATCATTTTTTAACTTGAACCCAGAATTCTTAACCATACTCGTAGTATTGTACATATATTAGTACAAATGTGTAGTTCACGTTCGATGATAGATCTAACTATGATATAAGTAGGTGTAAAAACAAAGGTGTTAGGAAAAGCTAAACGCAGCGACTAGCGTAGCTTCCGGCTTAGACTTCTCGTTGTACTATGTCGTTTTTTTAACATAGAAGCTCTTTATAGGAAGGCAAATATTTCGAAATTTGGCATAGTATCGAAAAAATCCACTTTCGTCTTATTTTGGGGTCAATTTATTGAAATCGTGATAGTGATAAACAATTTACTATCAGCAACAAAAAGTTTAAAAATATGATAATTTTATACGTTCATTAATTTGATTTAATATACAAAAACATCTTCTACAATTTATATCTATTTATATAATAAAATTGGAACTAAGCCGAATCTGTACATTAAATATTTTTTAGAAAATCTTATTGAAATAGACATTATTATCGATACAGAGGCCGAATCTACAGATTTTAGAATTTTTGTCTGTCTGTCTGTCTGTTACCGCATCACAGAAAACCGCTGGAGGGATTTTGATGAAATTTGGTATGGTGATAGCTGGTTGTCCGGGTCATCATATAGGATACTTTTTACTGCGGAAAATATCTCATCTCTGAGAAATCTATACTAAGTAAACGTTAAAATGTAAGGGCGAACTTGAGCGGAGCGAGGGTGGGTCCCTAGTATGAAGTATGTACATAAAATGCACCTATAAATTGATAATCGAGAGAAAAAATCCTACTATTTCACCGTAACGGCGTCGCGTTACGTTTGGTTTCATATGCCGTTATATATTTACTGTTATTTTACTACTACTTAGCATATTAATTATATACCTAATCAGAAATAAGTTGTTTGCTTACAGTTTCTAAGGAACAGACATTTTTAGAAATAAAATTTTGATTCAGATTCAATATTAATCATTCATACAAAAATAGTCACAATAAGTTTTATGTATGTTAATTATTATTATAAAATTTATTTGTTATTATGGTTCGTGATTTTTGCACGTTTAGATAAATGCTTATCACTTTGTGCTTTTTTAAAGTCACAAATAGATATGATGATGTTTGCATAACTTTTTAATTAACTTATTCAAAAGATGATAAGTTTCATAAATACTGTGTACTTTATCGTTGTTTCTTTTTATTGCAGTACACATAAAGAAATATCATCATCATCTCCCTGCCCTTTTCGCAAATTATTTGGGATCGGCGCTGTATGTCCATACTGCTAATTGTTCTTATCAAAAGTTTTACGACCAGCTGCCTGCCTGACGTTTCTTTAGGAATGCTGTTGTTCGCCTGCCATCAAGCAAGACACTCAAAGTGCGATGTCCCTAGATCCTTTAGTTGCTTTCTACAATACCAACAGGAGATGGGGTAGTCCTATTCTAAGCCAAGCGCTACATGGCTAAAATTTTGTATGTCAAATTGAATAATTATATAATTTTATAACATAATAAAAATCTATCAGCTGAAATTGTCTAATTCACAAGATTTAACAAATAAATTAATGTATTTTTTAAAAAGGTGAAACATGTTCTTAAATAAGTTAGTAAATTCCAGTTTTGAAATAAAAATAATAATTTTATATTAAAAGGAAATATTCTTGTCAATATATCTGAGTGTTATATAAGTAAATTAAAGATAAATTAGTACTTAAATAAAGTATGATTTCACATGCTCATAAAAGAAAAATGATTTTTTCATTTTGACTTGAGGTTACCAGATCTTTTATAATTTCTTGTAATCTTTATATACTTATATACTTAGTGTTTCTATTAAAGTCGACTTCTCAACAATTTTATGCAATGTTAAGTTTTGCAACTGTACTTAGTATTACTTAGTATGTTAGTTAAGTAATTTACAACATCTACATGAATGCCACTTAGTTATATGTACTTAAGATTATTTACTTACATTGGCTGTTACTAATTATTGAAGCTAATAATTATTCCCTCCACGACCGCGGACACGCCGGCGTTACAGTGAACAATAGATTTCTTAGAATGATAATTAATTTCTTAGAAATTTACCTGGAGGTGTTAAGGTGACTGGTATGCAATATTCTTATTTCTTATCACTGTCACACTAATGAACAAAGGTTTCTCATTTTAGTTAGATTGCAGCCTTTTCATAAATTCGGTTAATTAAGATACTAAATATAAGAATATATTGACATCTTACTTTATTGTTTCCTTATTGCCTACTCTAAAATAGTAAATTAAAACTTGTATGAATACTTACTCGTTTATAAATTTCAAAGCTTGTAAACTGTGTAGCTGCATATGGGAATATTCTGACCATTTGAGCACCATTTCCCTTATATAATGCAATAAGGGATTCATGCTTAACAATTGCCATTAATCCACCAAATACCCCATGATGCTTGTAATGTGATGACTGAGCCTGAAGAAGTATCTTAATACGGTCAAGGGGAGCTACAGTCGTTTTAGAACACATGCCTGCAACGCCTGTCCAAAGAATATTTTATGTTTTAACTAATAATAATTTTCATAACAGAACAAATTTTAAACTTCTAATATAAAGTCTCAATATTGTGATAAACCTTTGCTAATATAAAATGGACTTACCACCAGCTAACAAATTTTTCAGTATAAACTCAAGATCGCTCTTCTGTTCCATTTTAAGAGCCATCTTTTATAAGCAATCGTTAACACTTAGCAGGTTTAAAATTATTATTTATAACTAGTGACCATTAACACTTTTATTGAATTAGCCTAATTATTAATGATAAATAGGAGACATTTCTTCACGATTTAGCACGAAACATAATAAAAACACTTTCACTTCGAGCTATAACAAACAAAACTTTCTTCACTTGAACGATGTCACATTCAATAGAATTTTACAACAAATATTTTTAAACAAATTAATATGATTCTTATTTATAAAATCACTTCGGGAATGAAATCAAATAAATACCTATAACTTGTATTTCTTATTTACCTACATAATTCAAAAAACATATTTTTTTAATTTTAACTTCCTATCTACACGAAAGGTTGACGTTTACTGGTCATGAATGACATTAGAGAATACAGACTAGCTAGAGGTTAGTAGAGACTAGAGTGAAACCGCCAACCGGGCGTCACAGAGTACATTACACAATAGAGGCCGCTATAGTGTCCTTTGTTATTTATGCGCCATCTAGTAGATAAAGCGAAACAACAGTTGGTGATAAATACAACACATGATACACCTTTATAGGCTTAAATACCTTTTCATATAAAAGTGTTTTTAATGTTTATAATTTATAGATTTTATGCTGTTGAAAAACAAAGTAAATCGTAATGAATATTCTTATTATATTGACTAATATAGTATTATATGATCTGTGATATTACTCATTTTATGAAGTTGTATATTAGTCTTAAAAACAAAGAGCGCCATCTCTTGTGAAACAAGTGTTCTGCACCAAGCTTAGTATCTCGACATTCATTTGAATTTGTTTTTCATATTTTTTTCAAACTAATAATATTATGTATTTAATAATAAAAGCGGTAGTAAGTTTGATGCAATCAAATAATCTGAATATATATTGAATATTTGTAGTCAATACAATGTGTAGTAGAAACAAACGTAAATGTTTCAAACTTTATATAAAATTGCATCAGATTCAAAGTTACGCGCCTAAAAGGAGCTTTTACTACGTGCTTCATTGATCTTAAAAGATTTGAAGGTCACCTTGAAAGAGCGCGAAAGCTCAAAATAAATAGGGACATTTGTGATTTGAAATCATTATGATTTTTGGATGCATGATCGTAAGCACGTTGCACTTCAGACGACGCGATCAGCGATGGTATAAAAGTAAATAAGTACCGTTTAAAGGGGTTACAACATGTTGCGTGATACTTGTTCGGAATAAAGTTTGTCGCACGTATTTCACATGTCGAAGTAATTTCGTGGACTGCATACGCGTTTATCAATAAGTGAAATTATTTTAAATATACTCCAATTAAATTAAATAAAAATGGATGTGCCGGCAAAGGGAAATATTCTGGGACGTAAGTATAAAGGTTTATTTGTGATATTATATTTTAGTAGTGTTTAATTATTTTAATATTGTAATGTTTCGATCTAATAAAAGCTCTGTTTGTACATTCATCGAGAAATTAAAGTATTTGAATGTAAGTACATTAAACTATTTTTTAAGTTTATGTTAGTTTTGTTTTATAATTTAGCATAATATTTGTAATTTTACAGTACGTATTTTTTAATTTAGTGGCAGGCAGTTTATTTAGTAATTTAGTTTGACTTTTGATAAGTGTGTTATCGGAAATATTTATTTATACTGGGCATACCCAAATTTTTTATTAGAAGTGTACCTTTAATTCAGCATAACACATATGCTTTAAATAATAAGTGTATTTTTTACTTATCACTACATAGTATAAAACAAAGTCGCTTCCCGGTGTCTGTCTGTCCCTATGTATGCTTAGATCTTTATAACTACGTAACGGATTATGATGCGTTTATTTAATAGATGATTTAAGAGGAAGGTTTATATGTATAATACATGCATATTGTAGTACAGCAAAGTCGAGAAATTGAAATATTTGTATTTCATACTAACCGTTAAAACGTACCTACCGAACCCGAGCGAAGCGAGGGAGAGTCGCTAGTTATATATAACGTCAAACTGCTGAGAGTTTAATTATATGTTATTTTAAATAAGTAAAAGTTTTTATTTTTATTAAAATTATTGTGGTCGTATTGATTATAATAATAGGTTCAGTTCTTATCGGAGTTTTATCAATTAAAATATATACCGACAGCATTTTTTAAAGATTTTCCTTACTGCTTGATATAAATTATGATTTAGCCCTAAACAAGTATTATGATTAAAGGAATAGCTAATATTTAATTTAACATGTAGATTTCGAGAGGCAGTTACCTTCATATAATTTATCTAAGGACTTTTATAGATTTTCATTTTAATTTTCCGATACGTTAAATTTGATTTCTTTATGTCCTTGTGCAGAGGTCATGGACGTCGTTTCTTCTGAAAACGTAGTCTATAGTTTGCACCTTATGACGAAACAATTTATAAGTAGACTGTAGAACTAGCGTTGCCCGCGGCTCCGCCCGCGTTTAGATGACCAAAAAGCATATTCTTAGGTTTTACATATTAGTATATACTCTTACAACGCTGTTTTTGTATTTTTTCTCAGAAATGATATATTTTCCCGCAGTAAAAAGTATCCTATATGTTGACCCGGATAACCAGCTATCACCATACCAAATTTCATCAAAATCCCTCCAGTGGTTTTTCTGTGATGCGGCAGACAGACAGACAGACAGACAAAAATTCTAAAAACTATAGATTCGTCCTCCGTATCGATAATAATGTCTACTTCAATAAGATTTTCCAAAAAAATATTTAATGTACAGATTCGGCTTAGTTACAATTTTATTATATGTATAGATTAATGATCTCATAATTCTGTGGAGTAGGTTTTGATATCAGGTCTCAGGATCAGGAGATCTCATACTACTGTGGAGTAGGATTTCATAATTCTGTGGAGTAGGTACTACTAGTTACAAACTACCAATGTGTCTATTGCCTACATACTTAGAATCATTTTTAATATTAATCATGTTAGCTTTGTTTAGACTTCATGAAATCCGTATTCTTTACACGCAATATTCTTCATTACACTAGTTTTTTTTTAAATGAAATCTCTGTTAATTGGCTATTTTCTTACAGGTGTTGTCCCAGCGCGGTATATTCTATCTGTACTGGGTTCGATAGGTATGGCAATAGTTTACGGGTTAAAAGTTAATCTTTCCGTAGCAATGGTTGGTATGTTGAACCACACAGCGTTAGAACAATCAGTACACAAGTCACAAGTAGAGGAAAATTTTACGGCGTTTGCAGATGTCGACTGTGAAACTGCAGGGAACTGCAGTACTATTGCTAAGGTGAGACAATTTTTAACACGCTTTTATAAGCCAGGTTGTGTTAACATACTCATATCTTAGAAATCGATTTTAACTTATTATTGTCATATCGATTTAATTTTTGTTAAGCTAATAATTATCGATATATAAGCGGCGTTTGAATAATAATAATACAGTAATTTCATTATTAAAGCAGATGATAGAGCAGTGGAATTAAGATTTAGGGGTAGTGGGGGGGTAGTGGTATCTAAATTTTTATAATGGCTTTCAATCTCCGAATTTAGTCATATTTGATTTTTTTACGAGTCCCGCACATCAGAATTGATCAAAGTGTCTTTTTATTATTATTAAATTGTAATCACGTTGTATTAAAAAGTTGTTTAGTATAGATTTGTTAAGTATATAACAATATACATACTCGTGTGTTATATATACTTATAATAAACGATAGGTATATTATTCTGGTAACTTAAGTTGTTGAAAGGTCAAATTGGTGTTAATTCTTGATAAAGCTCCTTAGAATATGAGCGACAGCTCATTCTAGACGGTTAATAGATATTTAGAAAAATGTATTTTAATGAGTTTACAGCACATAAAAAAAAAACAATTTTGTTATTTACAAATTAAGATGAAAAAAAAGGATTTAGTTTTTCGCTAATAATTCAAAAACTATTAATAATAAAGAATCAAAGAAAGATGTAAAAGACGAGGAAAATTCCAATTTTCAGCGTTAATTGAAAATTGTTATCTACTACTCGTAGTGGAGGTAGAGTTTCGGGAGTTGGAACTTTTTTATTGGAAATTTCCTGCTCTTTAAGATTTTTTTTTTATTTCTTAACTTAATAAGTTAACGTTAATTCTACAGTTAAGCAAAGAGTCCAGGATTCAAGAGCCAGACCTTAAAACTAGGTGATATGCCATAAAATTGTGTGTATATATGTACATGTAAGCTGAACTACTATTGTCTTAACGGTGAAGGAAAACATCGTGAGGAAACCTGCATGTCTGAGAGAACATATTAGCAAGTTTTCAAAAGACATGTGAAGTCCGCCAACCCGCACTTGGCCAGCGTGGTGGACTATGGCCTGATTCCCCTCGTGCTGAAAGGAGGCCCGTGCCCAGCAGTGGGATGTTAAAAAAGGGCTGAATACAAGCTGAACTACATAAGTACTAAAAGTACTTTACAGTTTAGTTAAACAATTGTGACATTAATTTCTCGTGAAACAAAAATAGCTGACGTCCAGTGACGTCACCATAAACAATACCATAAAAATTTGGCAAACTTTACGATAAAGGTAATAAATTAAAGAAAGAATTTAGAGTAAAAACTTTTTTTTAAGTATCAAAACATACCGTCTGGAACGTACGAGCGAATCTTTTTATAGAAATCGGGACGATCGTAAAACACAGAGGTTGATAATTATGAGAATAACAAAATAATCAACACTTTGATTGCTATTATAAAGTTTAAAAATATTCACTAATAAAAAAACAAAGTGACATTACGACTCGAGTGAAGTTGGAGAAAGTCGCTTTTTTATAAAATACAAAACTTAAAAAAACCCTCTTAAAAATACATACAGACGAACATAAAACCTCATCCTTTTTGGAAGTCAGTTAAAAAATTAGACGTCAAGTGATGCGCTTACCGACGATCAACATTTTATTTTTATTTATATAGATATTATTTTATTATGATTTATATTATTTAGATTTTAGATGATTGATTCAAAAGGCCTATTTATATGTAACTGTTATTGTGGATCTTGGATGATTGCCAATTTAGTTATAGTAAATTCTTTTTCAAACTGAGTCGAATTTGTACATTAAATATTTTTTGGAAAATCTTATTGAAATAGTTATCATTATTGATACAGAGGCCGAATCTACAGTTTTTAGAATTTTGTCTATCTGTCTGTCTGTGACCGCATTACGAGAAAACCACTGGACAGATTTCGATGAATTTTTTTATGATGATAGCTGGCTATCCTCATCCGGGACAACATACATTTTTCTAGGATACTTTTTACTGCGGAAAAATATCTAATCTTTGAGTAGCCTACACTAAACGCAAAAACGTAAACGTCGCTAATAAATTACTTAAATAAAGAATCAACAAAATGCAATTTCAACAAAATTGATCTAATTGTTAAAATTCGCCGATAGTAGGTACGTACGGTGTATTTTTATTGAACTGATTCAATTTATTTAGGCCAATGAACCATATTGCCCATAAAGTAATTCCTCTCATAAACTGGAATACTTTGCAATAGCTTCCAATGGAAATGAATTGTTAAACAATGAGAAATTGTTTTCATTAACCTTTTTCACTGATTTAGCTTTTATCTTACACGCGATAGTATGATGATTCGGTTAAATTTAGAATTTAGTTTGATTTCATTCAAGATATTTACGATCAAACCAAGTCCATTACCAACGTCACACGAAATTACAAATCTAATTTTAGTTTCTGTATGATGTTATTAGGCTATGTTTATTTAGATTATTTATTGTACTAAATAACAATTTTCTTAGATTTTATCAACTAGTCTTGCTTTGTTTGTTTTGATTGAGTTTTGATGGAACTATTTGTAAGAATCTTATATTCTTTTGACTCTTGTTTTTGATTTTTTTTAAAGACCTTCCCTTTGGGTTGAATTAGAATGTAAATTTCAACAAAATTAATTAAAAAAGAGAATCTTTAAAGTCATAATACGTATAAGTATGTATCATGTTGAAAAAGTTTTGATAGTTCAAATGCTTTTGTTTTTTTTTTTAAAGAAAATATTTATTTCAGGAAGCGGATGGACCTTTCCTCTGGTCGTCTGAAATACAAGGAGTAATACTTAGTTGCTATTTCTGGGGATATTTTGTGTCTCAAATTCCTGGTAAGATGTAATTCATGTAATAACCCGAGAGGCGAGCGACCTGAAGGCTAAATTTTTAACTTTACGACACATTTTTGGAGAAAAGAAATAACCAACTGTCAGTCAGCCAGATTCGTTAGCGTTTGTCACGGGGGCGGTTTTCATTTTGTAAAAAAGCTATACTAAGCATCGGAACTACTTTCCAAAATCTGAAAATTATTTGGCGAGCAGTATATTAATTAACAATAAGTTTTACGATTGTCAGTCTTGCAGTTGGGTCGTCACCGCGCCAAGTGCTAACTTAACCGGCTAACTGAATGCAGGCTATTTCTCTACTCCACCAAAGTGCCGTAATGTAAAAAAAATAGCCTTTAGGAAATGCTTGCAGTTTTTGGTCGTTCACATCTCGGGCTATAGGTAATTTGTATTCGTTGATATCGCCTTTAAATTGGTATTATGAAAAAAATATTACTCATTAGCCAGTTTGTAGAATGCTACTAATTCAATTTCTATGTCAAACCTGTATTACGGTTACAAGAGAACTTTTATCGAGCTTTTTTCAACAAAGGAATTAATGAAACTTTTTGGTCCAGGGGGTCGTATAGCGGAATTGTTTTCTGCTAAATGGGTGATGTTCTTCAGTGTGACCATCAATGTGGTGTGCACTTTGCTCACTCCGGTGATGGCTGAGGCGCATTACGTTGCAGTCGTTGTTATGAGAGTAGGGGAAGGGATTGGAGGGGTATGTATTGTTATTACTTATTGTTATTTTATAATATTATTTTTTAAGGATATTTATTATTATTTCATAATTTAATGATAGATTTTATTTTTTTCTTGCCAATTTTGAATAATTCTTTAATGTGATAAATTATGATTTAGATGAGAGTAGTGTAATATGACTCTATATACATATTAATATATAATATATTTTTTGGATTGTATGTTATTAGGTGTATATGTAGATTTGTTCTCCTTTCAACAAAGAAAGCGTCATTTTTTACATAGTGATACTTTATAGGCCACAATGACAGGCTATCAGGTTAAGCTCAGTACGATAGGGGTGGATCTCGATAACCTTTTTAATATCTTTCTATAGTTTTCCTTACTAGAGATAGTCATTTGACTTAAGTTCCATAAAAGCTGAGATAGATAGGCTATTTGGAATTATCGTAACTGGTAATTACACTAACTCACAATTTATTATTGGCGTAAAGTTCACTAGTAAGGTATTATGACGTATTTCTAAACATACATAGGTCACGGTCAGATTCAATTGTAGCAAAATTTAAGGATTTAATTTTCCTAAATCATTTAGCAGAAGTACCCAAATATGTACTAAAATACTCCTGTATTGCTATTGTGTATGCAGCTTTATTTATATATTAATTTGACGTCATTTTTTACATATTAGAAACTTCATAAACTTTTATGAGCACAAGACAAATAATGAAAAGGACCAACCACATGGTGTCTTCTTTATCAAAATTTTTTTTATTTCGCCATATATGTATTTATATAGAACCTACTTACTGTCGATTTTAAAGCAAATTCTCGAAGCAGACTATTATTATAAATACCATAGTTTGTGAATGAGTTTGATTGTTACTTCTTTATTACTGTAGCTGTTCAATAGAATTAGGTCAAACTTAGAATTAAGATAGTTTATCTATACTGTAAAGTGTAAAGGAGTAGGCCCACTCTACCACGCAAACGGAGCCGCGGGCAAAAACTATGTGAGCGAAATATTACGTTATCTTTAACTAGCGACTCACCCTTGCTTTGCTCGCGTTCATCCCTAACTACGTTTTAAATTAAAATGTATATAGTATGTTATCCTTAAGAGATAAACATATGCCATCGCGGACTTTTCTGTAGACCTATATATAAGATATACAATTGGACCATACATTATTTTGTTATATTTCAAAGGGCAGCGTTTTCGTTGTAAGCTCCCAGATAGCTTATCGGTGCAGTAGTTTTTGAGTTTATCGTAAGCAGATAGACAAACAGACGCGGCGGAGGACTTTGTTTTATAATGTATAGTGACTATACTTAATTATATTTTGAAAACATATGTGTTAGAAAAAATAAAATGAAATTCCAAAATATAAGATAAAGAAATTTCTCCCAGGGCGTCACTTTCCCTGCAATGCACGTATTACTATCAAAATGGGCCCCGCCGGCCGAGAGGAGTGTGATGGCGGCACTAGTATACGCGGGGACTTCTTTGGGCACGGTTATATCAATGCTGACGGCCGGCGTTCTTACTGCCACTATCGGTAAGTAAAGTAGGTAATTAGGTTAATTTATATATATAGTCTATAGGTATGCGTAACTAAATAAAATATTGTTACAGCTTTGTTTATCAAGTAATATAACAAAGAGGTTTATTGAAAAATGATTTTTATATAGATTTGATTGGCAGTGGTAGCTCAGTGGTAACGCGCTCGCTTGGGAAACTGAGTGAAGCGGCCAGCGGGTTCAATGCCCGGATCTTGCACCTCTGAAGTTTTCATGTGCAAATCATTTCCAACATTATTACCATTTGTCTTACAGTGAAAGAAAACATCGTAAGAAAACCTGCACATATGAGAACCGTAGAGTATTACGAAATTAATATTTTAAAATTATCTTTTAAACTTTATTTTCGTTACATGTACGTACATATGTACTTAGGTACGCATCCGAGCGAAACGAAAGTGAGTTACTAGTATATTTTTAAATGTCTAGGATGGGAAAGCGTGTTCTACGTGATGGGCGGTCTGTCCGGTATATGGTGCATTTTATGGGTGTGGTTGGTCCAAGACTCGCCTCAGACACAGCCTCTCATCAGTAAGGAAGAGAGAGAGATGATCGTCACCTCGCTTGGTGGAGGCAGTGGACATGAACACAAAGTAAGGATATATTGGAAAAAATCAATGATAAACTAGGAAAAAGCCGGTGACGTGGAATATTATTATTATGTATTAAAACTATGTATAATATATAGTTACTAAACTATATATAATATATAGTTTCTTTGGAAGGCTTGCGCGGGGATATATGTCCAACAAAAATGGTAAAATGTTTACTTGAATAATTAAACGGGTTCAAACTTGGGTTTCGTAGTTCTAAGCTTTTCATGTGTAAATCATTGTCAACTTGATTAGCACTAGCGAGTATGGTAAAGTTACATTGTTTAGAGCCTATTGTCAATCCATGTACACGTGCGCCTTATGGGTCAGTTATACGCAGAGGTCGTACAGCGCTCTGCGTATCCAATATAATAACGCCTTCCGGGTAATGCTGGGGCTACCGCGTTTTTGCAGTGCTTCGGGGATGTTCGCGAGTGCTGGTGTGCCGGACTTTTACGCGTTAGTAAGATCACGAATAGCGTCCCTGATGCGGCGAGTGCGCGATAGCCCCAATAGACTTGTAGCCACTGTGGCTAAAAGATTTGACAATAGCATAATGTGGCATTGGATGACGACACATAGATCGTCGTTTAAATACATTAAATAAAGGTTCCTATTAGTATTAAGTTCAAAGTTATTGTTAAATATTAAATTTTAAATGTTGTTAGGTAATACATATTAAACTATGGACCTGTGTCTGAATGAAAATTAAATAAATAAAAAAAAATTAAAAAATTATAATAATAATATTCATTACTTATTCGCCAACTATTATTATAAATGCGAAAGTTTGTGTGTGTGTGTCCGTGTGTGCGTGCACGTGTATGTTTTTATTCCTTTACATCGAAACGGCTGGACGTATTTGGATTAAATTTAGGAAATAGATAAGAATAACCTGAAGGAAAACTACCACTGATTCGTTAATCGTTAGTAGTATATAAAATTCACTTACGCACTATCTATATATGTATGTAAAATGACAAACAAACAACTGTTCCTACTACAGAAGCTACCAGTGCCATGGAAGGCAGTGCTCACATCAGGGCCGTTCCTCGCCATCCTGGTGGCGCACGCCTGCTCCAACTGGGGCTGGTACATGTTCCTCATCGAACTGCCCTTCTATATGAAGCAAGTGCTCAAGTTTAACATGACTGAGGTATGGATTTATGTATATTTTATATATAAAATCCTTGGATCGTATCTAACATTTATTTATTTTTTCATATTTTTTTTTGCAATAAATTTTGGTATATATACGATCAAATAGTTTTTTTTATAAAAATGACTGTTTATCTTTGTGATCATTTGTTAGTGTTATATGTAAAAACAACCGGACGGATTTTGATCAAGTTTTGTACCAACAAGTGACTAGTTATATTAAAAGTATAGTACATGCTTGTAGTAATTGTTTTGGTTTAATAAAATTTTCATTTATTGATAAAAATGTATGTCTCAATGTAATATTATTATTTTCTGAAAAACCCATCGTTTATTTTGGTTTCATAATTAATACTTAATTTAAAATATGAGATTAAACAATTACTAACTTACTAGCATTGCCCGCGGCTCCGCCCGCGTTCGGATAACCAAAAACCAAATTTTTAGGTTTTATATATTAGTATACTTACATTGTACTTTTTGTATTTTTTCTCAGAAATGAGATATTTTCCCGCGGTAAAAATATCTTATATGTTGATCTGGATAACCAGTTATCATCATACCAAATTTCATCAAAATCTGTCCAGTGGTTTTCTCGTGATGCGGTAACAGACAGACAGACAGACAAAAATTCTAAAAATTATAGATTCGGACTCTGTATCGATAATAATGTCTATTTCAATTAGATTTTTCAAAAACTATTTAATGTACAGATTCGACTTAGTTACAATTTTGTTATATGTATAGATTAGTTTTCAACCGACTTCAAAAAGGAGGAGGTTCTCAATTCGACTGTATGTTTTATTAATTTTTTATTATTTTTTTTTATGTTTGTTACCTCAGAACTCCGTCATTTATTAACCGATTTGAACAATTTTTGTGTTGTTTGAAAGTGTATACTTCCAGATTGGTCCCATTTAAATTTCAAAAAAAATACTTCTAATTGTCATATTGACTTGAAACTTTGCAAGTGTTTCTATTTCCGTTGATAGTACAGTGGTTCGGTGTTGTTGACCTGATCTGATGGTAAGGCCAGAAGGTGGATAGGTGGAACTCTTCAACGGCTAATAGTAGATACTTTGAGTTTGGGCTTATTTTGTTTGATTTGACAAGACTAATATGTTAGGATTCTTACTTTGCTACTACTGTCTACACTAAAAAGGGAAAAATAAAAACTTTTTAACAAAAAAAGTAAAAACCGACTTCAAACATAAAAACTTTTTAACAAAAAATAAAACCAACTTCCAGGCACTAAAATGTAATCTTCTTCTTGATGCTTAATGCTTTATAGCAATCATAATCACTGGACTCTCCCGCTGATTGCTGTAAAGCATTCGAAACATCGGGAATCAAAAATTTAAATAAACCCGCGAAAAAATCCGAAAAGTTAGTTTTATATAAAAATTCATATATGAAAAAGGATAATTACTTTTCCCCGATCTTCTTATTTTCTGGACCTTTTCCATTTTTTTCCAAAAATTACGGATGGTTCCAGCTGTTATCAAGCTATGGGCATATCAACGAACAGCATTTATTTTTTATTTATAGATACATACTCGTATATAGAAAAAAATCCTATTATGTTAGTAGCCTTAAAGTTGTACTTTAGTTACGTTATGATATTGTAGTTTTCTATACGACTCCGTTATTTAAAATTACTGAACTTGCCTCAGAAAAAGCTTGAAAAAAATGAATATAAAAAATATAAAGGACCTTTCTTTATAAAAATTATAATAAAATTAAAACAATTTTCTTATAACAGAGTAACTACATAAGAAAAAATATTCACTCTTCGAGAACTAATTATGTAACATAAACTACAGTAATAACAAGGAAGTCTGCAGTCAGGATCGCTTGTAATAATAGTTAATGAGTTCATGGAAGGAGCTGTTTGAAATAAAAGTCAAAAGGGAAGGAAATACATAATTTGTTAAAATCATATTAAATATACCTTGAAAGTGTACTCGTCATATAAAAACAGCACTAATGTTTGAGTGTGAGATTTCAATATTTTTATATTTCAATAATATGTCTACGCTCTAGGCGACTTGATACTCGTAAGTTTAATCTTTTGTTATCTGTAGAAGAACGTCATTGTATGGAAAGATTTATAATGGAATAAAACATCGTTATATTTTTGTTTCATAAATAGTAAGTATAAATGTTATTTGAAAAAAATAACATTTAAAAAAAATTACTATTTATTTCTTTGTTCAAATATGAAAGGTGAATAACTAGGCAAGCCTTTAGGGGACTTTGAATTAAAACCGCATATAAAATTTCTTTTAATCATATACATTGCACATATTGGTAATATTGAGAGAATAACTGAAAATATCGTAACATTTACCAGTATCGTGATATATTTTTTTTTTGAATACAAATTTATTTGAAAAAGAACTTTAATAATACTTAATAGGATGCGCAGGAGATAATTTGACCAAACTAGCGCTCTTAAATCTAATAATCATTGAAACAAAATTTACGAAATAATATGAAACCTACACAAACTCTACTTATACCTATATACATTTTTATACTTATTTAAATACAATAATACAAATAAAATAAAAGTTCAAAAATACGAAAGAACGATACGTAAAAGAACAAAAGAAAGATGGAGTTATCTTCATTCAGGAAAATACATAGGTAACAAATTCAATTATTTCACCGCGGAAAAGTTAGATTTTCCATGTAAAATATAGCAGTCGTATAAAAACGTAAATTATGTAATACATCAGGCTTGCCCTTGCGGCCAGACAACGATATAACATGCCACTTGTTAAGTTGACACAAGGAGCTACTTCATTTCTACATTAAAGTTTATATAATAGTTTGTGTTATTATAATCTCAGATTTTTAAATATGAGAAAATCTACAATATTTTTGTTTAAAATTTCTCATTCTCATTAAAAAGTACAAAATGTATAGACATAGAATTGATGTTTTTTAATTTGAAATTTATTAACGATTTGCACTATAATGTTAATTTTTTTTTATTGTTTTTTTTAAAACTATAGAACAACATTATAAAAATTCAGCCCTTTCAACGTCTCACTCCTGGACAAAAGTCTGCCTTCAATACGATCGGGTATAGACCACAGTCCACCACGCTGACCAAGTTCACATGTCTTAGAAAACTTTCTAGATTTTCTCAGACACGCAGGTTGGATATAATTTGCACATGAAAATGTCAGAGGTGCGAGGTTCGCGATTTGAACTCGCTTCACTCACTTTTCTAAGCGAACACGTTACCACTGAGCTACCAATGCCGTTTTATTATTATTCTTATTTGCTCAGTGTAATTTGTTATGCACACAACAGAAAAGCAATTTAATTTACGCATATCGTGCACACGTCCTTTTACTCATTGTTCTCTTGAATGTTTGTGAATTAAAAACCTTGGCTGCTAAATGTTTTTTTCTTAAAGTATTTCTCGCGTTTCTATAACGTAGGTGTCTTTTACAACCAAAGACTGTGCTGTGATCAGTAAAAATTTTTTTTAAACTGAAATTTTAAATGGAGATGCAAGCAGAAAACAAGTAGACGTAAAGAATTGTGTACACAGCCATATTTTATTCTTCCCACAATGGCAGGTGCGCCATATATCGTTTTTGTATTACTTGTATTATAATAGAAAAATATCTGAATGCTTTTATATCAAGATTTGATTCTAGTTTCTTTATTTTCTTATTTTGCGGCAATATTTGAACTTTGATACAACTATTCAATATTAGCGGCTCACCCTTTCTTCGCTCGGGTTCGCCTCTAGAAACACAAAAACAAATCTATCTCACGGGAACCTGGAAATAAAAAGTAGCCTATGTGTTGCTCCAGACTATAATCTATTTATGTGCCAAATTTCATCCAGATCCGTTCAGCCGTTCTGGCGTGAAAGAGTAACAAACATCCATGCTCACAAACTTTCACATTTATAATATTAATATGGACTAATTTTATACTTATCTACTCATTTACTAAATTCTTCATCTGCCTTATTGTTTGTTTGTTACTTCTCAATACCGAACGATTGATCTGATTTAGATAAATTTAGTATATAGAACACTTTTATTCTAGAAACGAACACATATTTTTCATTGGAAAAGATTAGATAGCTGACGCTGATTGATGAACTGTGGTATAACACCGGTTGATTATTTTCTAATATATAGTTTGGGATAGCTTAATTTGTAGGAAACTGTAAAGCAAGGATTTCCCACGAGATGGAAGTCTGTACGAAAATAGTAATATAAATTTTGATGTTGCTAAAATTACTTACTACTCTTAGTACCTAAAGGCATAGCGCTTAAAGCATCTCCATAAGTCCATACGATAGATTGAATCCCACTCAGGAGCAAATTTTCATATTGGTCATTGACATAAGTATTTATAATAATAATAAAACTTTATTAGCATTAACTTATATTGTGACTATAATAATACAGCACAAAATAAGCGAATTACAATTTAAGTTACTTGGTTTGCTACTGCCGACTGTACTAGGCCGAGTCTGTATTACAGTTCCTTCCTCTATGACACAAAAGAATTTACACTAAATTATCTACACAGTAATAACAATGACATTAGAAAGTCAGTTTTATACTAAAGTAATTACTACAGAAATTGAATTGAATCTATATTTAATCGATATATTGAATCAAAATTGCATTGAAATTGATCGAAATTGAATCGAAATTGAATCGATATTGAATTGAAATTGAATCGATATTGAATCGAAATTAAACATTGATATTCAACTTTTTTTTACAAGCACCGCCATAAAAGGAAAGTTAAAAAGGATTATTATTTTGAAGATAATATATTTGTAGCAAATAAATTTTCCAGCTCGCTGAAAACTAAACAACATGTGACATAGTATTTGTAATCTATGCAAATTGAGTTCCAGTGGCCATTGATAGTGCTACAAAGTTGATTTTATTCTGTGTACTGTTCAATTTTTATTTTCAATTGACATTCGTAATTCGGTTTTTGTTCTGC